ACGACCACGGTCCCGACCTTACCAGCACCGGGGGTGTACTAATCAATGAACCCCCGAAACCTACTTTCTTTTCTGACAAAATCAACCAAGCCTAACCGGTCACGACATGTTGTTGATATTGATTGAGTTGGAGGGACTTTCGATTACGGAATCCATCCATAAACCTAGACCCCGATAACCTTCGTAACCAAAGCGTCACGACAACATCCAAAGGTCACCCTTGGATTCTTAGGGGGGCAAGGAAGAGGCTGTTATGTTAGTTGTAGCGCGCCTTCCCTCTTTATAACACTTCGGAAAGATTTTGCAGTCTTTTCTTATGATGACCTGGTCGAGAGAGTACGATACATCGGTGTAAAAGATTGATCCCTTTGGATCTTGGTCCATGATGGCCTTTTGATTAATAGAACTGGAAGAGGAGGAAAAGAAAGAGCTTATGATGACCATCTATTTGAGTCGATCATTTCGTAGATCTAATTCAAGTGTTTTTTTTGCAGTGGAAAGGCCTTCAAATCTGAAGTTTGACGCTTAAAGGAAGAAAAGAATTAGCTTTGGTTCAGAGCTTGAATCAGAATATCGTCACCCCAGGTGAGGAGTTCGGCTAAGCAGCTAGTTGCCTTCTTAGCCTTCCTAGACCGCTAGTTGACTTCTTAGCCTTAAGGGCTTGAAGAAGATAAGGGCATGGAGATTGACCCATCTCTTAGCCTGAGCTTGCTGGCTAGCTCTATTGGGTTGGTGTCGGGTTAGCCCTTAGTTTCCTTCCTCTCCTTCTCTTTCAGGGCTCGCTTCTCTCATCTCTAGTTTTTCGTCTACTTCTTTCATCTCCGCAATAATATACATATTCTTTCTAATAAGAGAAAGTATAGATCTTGAATAAGTTGGCTACGATTAGTCACTTCGGAAGCCGTTAACCAACGCACCGGCTTTTGACTGTCCTTCTAAGGTAAGGAGGCTCAACAAAGGTCTAAGCTACTAGAATGAACGGCACATTTCGGCTTGCTTTAGTCGCTTGCCTAAGAGTGGTGAAAGTGTTATGCCTAGATCGACTAAAAGGGCTTACCAGCTACCTTCCCCTTGTAAAGTCTTGAGCTTGAGATTGAATTCTTCCTAACATACGGCTGTCTTTCATAAGAACAGGAAAGTCTTTACAGGAAGTGATCGAATCAGTACGCCTTGCCATAATGAATGTCTGTTGGAGATAGAGGTATGGCGAAGAGCTTTATAACTTTTCTTATTGGATTGAGAGTGCCCGTTATCTGCCATAGCCGCATGAAGAATTCTGAGAGGAGGTCTTTTCCAATACCAAGCCCTAAAGAGAAGGGATTGATAGATCGCTTCTCACCAGTAGCTAGCCTGTCTACTGTCCCATAGAAGGGGAATCAAGCCCGATTCTATCTTGCTTTCACCTCCGCTGTGAAGGCTCTTATCTCAGAAGGCATACAAAAAGCTCTTCCACGCCTAGCATCGTACTTTCCACTACTCGTGTAAGTCCTCCTTCAGAACAGGTAGGTGAGTCACTCTCCGCTAACCTGGTAGGTGGGACTTGCTCTACTTTGACTTCTTTATTTCATAACACTAGCCAACCAGCGTACCTGGAAGGAGCTGACACTCGTCGAGAGGATAAAGGGTTTTTGATCTTGTCAGATGCTTACAGGATATAGAATCACGTTTCCGGATGAGTTAAGTTCTTGTTCATTTCTCTTTCTAAAAGGGAGTCTCAATGAGACCTAAGAAAGGTAATGAGTCTGAATGCCTTCAGTATATTGTTGCTGGCAACCTTTCACTTAGAAGCAATAATAGGAAGTCCTAGGCAGTCTTATCTTATCTTATGGGCAATGCCCCCTTTGCCGTAAAGAGTAGCCATATCCAGTGCGATCTCCTCATACTCAGGCGTCGCCTCTAATCCCATTTCAAAACTCTACAACCGCTCCGGTCACACTGCACCTTAGAGCTTTAACGGGCCTTTAGGCTAAGGATAGATTGCCTGATAGACGAATTCGTCGACCTCCAATGCTCTAATAAGCTATCTTTCTCCCTGGGCTTCTCCGCTAACAACCAGTCCTGCAACCCGACCGGTTGGACAAGAAGAGCTTCCCTTCCTAGTCCTTGATCCTAGTTACTAGCCTTCAAGGCCGACTGCAATTCAAGGTGGTACGAGCTAGTGCGAACTAACTACTTGAATCCACACCTCAATTGTATTCCTTTCCTGACCTTCAATCAAAGGATTCCACCTGGCACCGACAAATCCCATTCTAGCGGGGAAGAACCACCATCCGGAGAAGCTGCATCTTCAATGGGTAGATCCCCTCCAAGCTTGACTCATAGGATGGGGAAAACCAAGCAACGACCAGCTCATTCACCTGAATTTGGTTGGGGCACAGCGGGTATTGAACATCTAAGTGCGAGCCTACCTCCGCTAGTGATCCCTCTTTCCCTGGAACCAATGGTTACGAATCTGCATCGAACTAACGAAAGAACCCCTGACGGAACTGAATTAGACTAAAGTGCGGAACAACCATGCGGAACCATTTCATCTCATTCCTCTTCACCATAAATAGCTCCATCCAAGCCTACGGCAGCTTATTTCCGATCTCTCCCAACCCCGAAGTCAGACCAGTCTGAGCCGAACCGAGACAATGAACGGCGAATCTCAACCTTTTTTGTTTCATCCTCTCTGGGCATCTAGACGGAGAAAGAAGGGACGAGTGTATCCGGGCCATGATCCGATCCATATTTTATCTGTATATTCCGGCAGAGCATATCGATATCGGGATCCCTCCAAGCCGGCTCTGGGACAGCATCAAAAGTCCTTCGTTCCTCCTTGCAATGAGCAGGGACCAGGGAAGATGTATGAGGCTGGTAAGGTAAGTACATCGATTCATCTCTAGCAGCCAGACTTAGGTCATTAAACCCTTATTCCGGTGTCCTTGGATGAGAATCTTTCTATACTATACGCATGCCTTCTGGCACAACACACACCCACTCAGAAGAGCACACCACCCTAATCCCTAAAGAAGAGAGGGAAAGAGCGGAAAAGCTGGTTTGACGTCAACAGTTCTTCCTTGTTCCGACAAAGAGTGTGTTTCCTTATTCTTTTTTAGCTTTGAGCTTGGTTCAGATTGGACACGTCCTCACTCGTTCTTTTTTTTTCAAGATCTTTGAGCCTCATAAGGATTCTTCTAACTGGTCTGTCCCAGTGCTAATAGACCCACTCCAATCTCGGGAACCTTTCCTGAGCTACTAAAATCTTGGAAATCGACTAGCCTTACTTCTTTCGGGGCTCCATCCCTCTTGACTATATAGGTAGGGGCTTAGCTGCTCCTAGTCAGATAAAAGTTCTCTACTGGGCTCTCGGCTACCCTGAACTACTAAAAACCCAGCCTTTGATGTGCTTGCCCAGCCTCTTCCACTAGAAAGAGCTTCTTCTCTTAAGGCTTCTTGCCAGTAGTGAGAAAAACCTTGCTTATCTATCTTTAGAAAGAGGATAGAGACAAAGATAACTAGATCAATGTCTTCCGTCTTCGTCTGCTAGAACCTTCAAGGAAGATGCAAAAGGCAGTACAGATGATAAGAGCATCTTTGCGTCTTCTCGTCTGGATCTATATAGGGGATCGAATGCATTTGAACTCCTTCTATCTAGCGCTCTCAAGCTGAGGTAACTCGAAGCTTTGAATGGCTCCTGCCTAGCTTCCTTCCAGTGATTAGAGTCTTCTGTTTGCTGTTTTTCATCTTGCTATGAGTGCCTTTACCCTTCTCTAAGAAGCCATAGGACTGTGCTATGAGGGAGGAACCCTTAGGTTTGCGGGGCATTGGATTCAATCCAGCCACAGGTTCTCCCTTTCAAGTAGCATAGACAATTTGTCATTGAAAAGAGTAGAATCTTACGCCAAATGTCGTAGATAAATATACTCAGCCGGGAGAATAACTAGCGCCTGTCTCTAGTGATTATACTAGAGGGATCCTTTTTTCTTATTCTGACTAGGGTAAAGGCACTATCGGACATGGGATTTTTTATATAGAAAATACTCCTCGTGTAAATGGAAGTATGTCACATGGGTGTGGCCTGAAATTCATCCATGAACCACTGCTTCTCCATAGAAAATCCACGAATTTGGCCGAGTTGGCTCTAATTCAATGCCTGTCTCCATCGAGAGTTCCCGGATATGCTGGGAATCCTCTCAAGGATGGAGGTGGTCGTCTAAGAACTGCTGGGTCCAGGGTAATGGCGCCTTCCACACTTAGGTTGATGCTGGCGGAGTGTGTTGGTTTTTTTCTTCTAGTATTTTTTGATGCAGTCAGAACGTCTCATCATATGATATTCAAGGCTAATTGAGTTCTTGCAGCTAGGGCAGCATCCAATGTCTGGCTCGGTCTTCATCGAATGTCAGACTGGTTCAAAGCTGTTCAATGATGGCTGAATCAATGCCATCAGGCTTTCTAGAATGTAAGGGTTCGAAAAGTCAGTTCAAGGGCTCAAATCCTGATATTCTATGCTTGAGGAATGTCTTTGCGGATGATATGCTAGCAGAAAACAAATTGATATGTCAGTATAAAACCTAAGTAAAGAAGATCATTGAAATCCTATTGTTATTGCTTTCACTACAAAAATGAAAAGGATAGAAGCTGGAGACTGGCCTATATTCCTACTAATGTGATCCCCATTACTGAAAATATGTTATACACTACGATATATTGCTCTGATGTTTTTACAACTATCTTTTTTGAAGCAGATAGTTCACAGTGCTCATTCTATCGATACTGGGAAAGAAAAAAAAAGAATGTTTACACTCAATTTTCATTACGAAGATGTATCACGTCAGGATCCGTTGCTCAAACCGAATCACGCCAACGTTATGGAAGTTCCTGGATCGTGTAAAATAAGAGTAGTACCAAAGGCAGCACCCTCTGATTTCATAATAAAAAATGGAAAATTGGCTATGGAGATTCCGTGCGGTCAGAAATTAATACAGACACAAAGGGCTTCGACAGGAAAGGAGTTTCGATCCAATCCATTCTTGGGAAAAAATCAAGACAAAAAAGGATATGTCAGTGACCTAGCACGGCAAAGCACTCTCCGAGGGCATGGAATGTCTCATTTTTTGGTAAGAATCTCCGCAGTAATGTCTCTGTTAGATTTTCCGGTCGAAATACGGGAAAAGTCCATTCAATTCTTGATGGAAATGGAGTTTTGCGAATTCTCCCCGGAACTGGAAGATCATTTCGAGATCTTCGAACATATTCGAGGGTTCAATGTCACTATTGTAACTTCGGCCAACACACAAGATGAGACTTTACCACCGTGGAGCGGCTTTTTTCAAAAAGATGAGGGGGAAAGTCAGTAAGATGTCGGAGAAGCAAAATATACGAGATCACAAACGTAGATTGCTCGCGGCTAAGTATGAATTGAGACGAAAGCTTTATAAATTTGTAAAGATACCGATCGATCTAGTGATATGCGGGACAAACATCGTTAGAAGTTGTCCAAGTTGCCAAGAAAGAGTTCCTTTGCACTAGTAAGAAACCGATGTATTTCCACGGGTCGCCCTCGTTCCGTATATCAGTTCTTTTCTTTCGAATTTATCGTCTCGTTTTTCGTGGATTAGCATCTCGAGGTCCTTTGATGGGCATAAAGAAATCGTCTTGGTAGCATCAAACCAATAGAACAAGGGTTAGCTCTGCAGCTGGTCTACAAGCAAGGTAAGTAGGTCCATGCGACCGGCCCCGGATGTACCCTTTAGCCGCGAGGGGAACCGGGTAAACAAAGTCGCGATCAGAATGAATGGTAGTTCGCTGGGCCTGTCTTTTGCTCCCAGAGGTGCTGGTTCGAATCCAGTTCGCGACAAGTACTCATACTAAAGTGTGCTCCGATAGGTATTTCCACTGTTCGATACCTTTTCGTGATGACTGTTCCCTGCTCCATTATCAGCCAACGGCTCTAACCGCTTCTATTGGCTCAGTTGGATGGAGTACATCTTTGTGCGAGACAGTGTAGGAGTTGAGATCCAGTGCGCTTAAACTCTTCTAAGAAGGAATGATTACCTGGTAAAAGCTTGAAGCTATACCCTTTTCATTCAAGTTGAGCTTCGATCCTAGAGAAGAAAGAGAGAGGGTTTACCAGCAGTGTACACCTTCACCCTCTGCTAGTTGACTTATGAGCCCTCCCCTCTAGGCTGACAGCTTGCAAGTTAGTATGACATCCAGTAGGAAGTCTATCTTTTCGGGATGCAGGGGCAATGAAACGAGATGGGATGTTATATAGAATATAGGTAGCTTATGTGCATGTTAGTGAAATACCTGGTTGTCGAGTCATTCAGCTAATGTATGATTCCTAGTTCGATCAAAAAGCCTTAGAAAAAAGGACAGGGAGCTCTAGCCTATTTCAATTTCCGGATCTAGCTCAAAAAAAATTACAGCGCTGGGAGAAGAACTGCGGATGTGTACGGGCGTAGGTAGGCCAGTCAATAGACTCTCTTTCTCTCAGCAGAAGCACTGGACAACTTGACTCAATCACATACTAGGGACCCCTCTTTCTAAGTTTGGTAGTCTCTCATCTATAGAGCTGGGTAGAAGGAATGTACCGAACGAAGTTGCTAAAGGCTGGCATCCATCCTTCCATTTGATCAAAGGCATCAGAGCATAAGTAATTCACTCGAAAGGAGAAGAGCGTCAAGCAGCCCCAACTCTAGCTCCGTAGAGCAGGAGAATGCTCAGGTCCGTCTACGTGTGATTCCTCATTTTCTTCCTAAAACGTGAGGTGAGCTGCTGATTCTACTCTTGGAGTTACTCAATATAATGCTTCCTGAAAAGGATTTGAACCAAGAAAAGAAGAAACCCCCGGACTAGAGCCTTCAGTGCGGGTGGTCAGGTGAGCCCTAAGAAAATTGGCTTAGAAAAGATGAGATAGGGTGGATGATTGATTGGTACCGGTTAATGATGCGATGGGTCCTAATCAATGTGATTGGCATAGTTCACTTTTAGCCCCAGCAACATATAGCAGTTGCATTTGACCGAGTTGAAGCAGCAGATCCAACCAATCCGTTGACCAAGTGAAGGCTGCATAGGCACTAGTCACGAACGTCCAACTCGAAGCAGCTACTTCACCCCTGGAACAAAGCAGTGGTCCTTCTTCGACCTTCCGTAAGACCACCCCTTCTCCGCACTCAAGTTGCTGTGAGTGAAGACTATCATGCCTGTTTCATGAGCAAACTAACTACCTTGTGAAGCAAATACACCCTCATAATCACATAACACTGCCTGCCTGTGTGAACAACCACCAGCTTCAACAGCTACGCCTAATCAATTACTGTTAGGATAAGCGAAATCGAAGAGGTTAGTTAGAAGGTAAGGCACGGAGTGATTAACTAGTTGCGGGTCTTTTGTATCATGGGCCACAGCTACTTGGGTAGAGACCGCTGAACATCATTTGGGCAGGCCTAAGCCCATATAGATTCTGGGTAGCCCCATAGAAAACTAGTATACAAGTAGGCCACATCGCTGTAAGCA